TGGATTGGGTAGTGATCAAGGGCAGAGCAATCCTTCTCAGCCTTCCAATGTAATCTTCAATCAACTCTCTTTCATCATCCTTACTCAGTGTTCTGTCATACCCCTCTATAGTACCCCGGTTCATAAAATATCGAGTTAGATCTATAATCTCATAATCAAATTGCATCGTTTACAGCCCACTACTGATCCTTCTTGCAAGAGAGAACCGCTCCTGAAAAGTGTGATATGATACTCTCTCAGTAGTTCCCACTTTCACCATTTTTAATCTCTCATGCGATCTAAGAAAAGCTGCAAAAACTCAAGCTCATCCAGGGTAGAAATATTTCTGTCAGAGATCCGAAGAGTCCGTTCTATCTTGACTACTCTACCTTCCAACACAACTCCTAGTGTCAGCTATTCAGTCAAACTGGGCATTGCTAATCATCATAAGCAACATCTGAAAGGTAGATCTCAGGTTGGACATAATCAGGGATCTCGAATCTGTGTTCAAAGGTACTCAAAAGTAGGGATTTTATCATCACAGTAGAGTCTTTTTCTCTTGCTCTACCAATCTCAGCAATAGCTTCCAATAGAGGCATCCAATCTCTCATGCCTTCAAATCCCTTAGCAATTGAGAACTCAGGAAGCCTCTCAAATTATCTTACTTCTTTCCCCAGGTTACTTTTCTCCTTAGCTTTTCAAGCCACTCCTTGGTTCTTATGAGACTAATACAAGCACCTGTCTGACACTTCAAGTAGTCATCTTCCTATTTTAGGCCTGCTGGTACATAAATCCGTACGTCCAGGATGTCAGTACTCAGGAATTTGACCACTGGGATGTGAAATATTATGGGCCCTCTCTCACAAGTCTCATACCTCAGGATCACAAAAGGATTATCACACCCTATCACCTCATAGAGTTTACCCCTCACAGTAGTTATCCTGATTACTGGTATTCTTCTTGGGCCCTCTTCACTTTCCATGCAAACTTTATCAGTCATACCAATCGTATCTTGGGAATGTGAACCCCTCAACAGGTGGAGACGGTATTCCAACAAAAGGTCTGACATAGGTGCTGAAGGAGAAATTTCTTCCCTCTCGCTCTAATCTTCTCTTCTCATCATCCACAAGATTCGACGCTCGTTACCAACACGCACCTTTTCAGCTTTCGTCAAATCTTTGCTTCGGCACATAAATCCCAATATCATATTCATCAAGATCAATAAAATAGCATGTAAGAATATACAGACTGTCTTGTTCTTGTCCTGATCTCTTTATGGCTTCATACCTCACAATTTCATAAGGAATTATAGCCTTACATGCTATAGAATTAAGAGAATTCAACAACTTGTCTGACTCAGCCTTACTCAGCCCTTCATGGCCTCTTATCAGTCTAAGCTTAGATCTCTCTTTCAAGGGTACATAGCGTCGACTCATCAGACTCTTTGACCTCTTTTCACTCTCTGGGCAAACTCAATCACCGCAAACCAATCATTTTTTGATAAATTTTTATCAGGCAAGGAAGGAGCTGGAAATCCCTCGAAGACAGTAAATCGAGTAGATCCAGTGAAACACTTGTTCTCTTTCTCAAGCCTCTCTCTGTGATGACCCGCCCAAAAAACAGACTGAGAACACTGCTGATTTATGGGATTTGGCAATGGAATGAATGCCTTGCTGTGATTCCCGCATTGTACTGTGGTCCCACGTCTGTGTGTGTGCGTGCCTGCTGGTTTGCATACCTGGCTGAGCGCTTGCCGGATTTGTGTGTGTGCGTGCCTGCTGGGTTGCATGCCTATCTGAGTGCTTGCTGGTTGGGTATGTGTGTAACCCGCCAGGGTACTTGTTGGTTGCAAGCCCACCGGGCCGGTACTTACCTGTGGCCGTGACTTTGGAGGGTTGCAGGGGGGTAAACATGCCGGTAGCGGG